AATCTTCGGAATTCCGATTTTGTCCAATGTCCAATTTGGAATTCGGTTGGACAATGACAGCAGACTTTGGACAACTTTGGACAATCGCTTGCTACACCTCAACATTTTTATAAAGTAATCGTGCTGAACATTGATCGGCAATTAGAAAGCTCAGCTTTCGATATGATTACCACTTTTGAGCTGGTAACGATACATTAAAAGCAAATTAATTAACGGTGTTGAGTCTAAACTATTGCGTAGATGTCGGACATCTTTGGACAAATGGCTGGCTTGGACATGTTTGGACGGACAGTCGACGTAAGTAGGTATTGGGCATTGGACGGACATTGGACATATGTTATCTGAAATTGACTAACAGTTACACAGCACGGCACTACACCACAGTCATCTGAGTCCTGAGAGCCCTTCAAGACTCCGGCGGCCCACAACCACGCAGACTTTTGATGGCCCATATCGTATCGGTCCTTGGAGAGTGGAGAATTAGGACTCCACATCGAAACGCCGGCGGCCCGGCCTGATGACCATAGTCGACATGCATAGACCATGTCTTAGGTTCTCTTGCCGGTCTGAAGGCAACACAGCAGCGTGAGAGACAATATTGGTTTATGAGGACCCAAAATCCAAACCGACATCGTGTGGCCCCACTGTCGACCTATTCAAGGTTTTATTCCAGGCTCTGAGAGTTCTATTGGGCCATGCCGTGCCGTTAGGCCAGGGGTCGGCAAATGGTGGGGCATGCCCCCTTTGGGGGTAATGGAGCCCTTTCGGTGGGGGTAATGAGGGATTCTGAGAAAGCCTATCTTTTTAGAGTTTGTAGCTCCAGTGATGGAGCCATCGTGACTGTTGCATCCCAGGGTTCAAAGATTAGCCCAGGCCAAAGGCACAGCACACATTGATTAGATACCAATTTTCACGTACCTGCTCGCCTCACCATCTCACCGCTCCGTACAGTCGTTCAAAAGCAGCTGCAACTTTTAACCGTCGCCCATCTGTTGGCGTTTCAACAGCCGCTAACGTAAGGGGGAGGAGTCGATCGGACCCCCGCGGCCTCTCGGACTCTGATATGGAGCTGTGCATAAAAAAGACGAGCGTGCTACCCGTGACCATAAGAAGCCGCTGCTGCCCATTTTTAAGGTCCTTGGTCAATGGTCATTCCGTCTCATTCAAGAGGGCAATGATAAGTGTCGAGAAAATCGGGACCCGCTATAACTTCTTGAAGTGAGATTTTATGGCTCAAGATGATCTCCAGAAAAAGCTCATAAGCCAACGGTCATTATGGGTCCAGAGGCCAGTTTTACCAACAGAAAAATAGCCGCCTGCCGGAATTTTTGCCTAAAGATCGTTTCACATATGGAGCGTAAACGGTAAAGCCCTATCCGCTTACGAGCCCATCGCGTTTACGCTCCGTATGTGAAGCGGTCTTGAGGCAAAAATTCCGGCAGGCGGCTATTTTTCTGTTGGTAAAACTGGTCTCAGGTCATGATATTTTCCGGGCTGGTGAAAAAAAAAATGATGGGCTCGAGGGTACAATTTGGTCGTGATCCAATGCCTTTTACGTGAGCTTTTAACGAAAAACCACCCGCCGCCCCTATACGTACAAGGGTTAAATGGGATATAGCATAGGCGGCGGAACGGGGAGGGCACCGGGGCACCGTGCACCCTTTGATTTTTGCATTTTAACACTAGCCCTATGGGCGTTGCATGGAAAGAATGGGACCAAAAGTCGGCAGTGCTCCCCCCCCCCCCTCCCCCTTAATTGAAGGTGTTCCGCCGCTACTGGGATATAGGCATTAAATGTTTTGTGGAGGAAGTGTCATGTTTTAAATTTGATGCATTGGAAATGCACAAATACCCAAAGAGTTCCAGGACGGTATGGAATTTCAGTAAACTTTGTTGTGTCAGCAATGGGGTCTGGTAGGTGGGGGTAATGGCCCTGCCTGGCGCCCAAAAAGGGGGCACGACCCCGAATGACCTGCCGACCACTGCGTTAGGCCATGGCAACAAATTGTAAAAGTTCGTTTTGGGGGCAATATAAACTTGTGGGTTTTGTTGCCAAACTGGATGGAAAATGCAATTGCATACGGTGATGATGCCAATCTAAGCTGCGGAGTCACGCCCATCCTGCTGTTACGATTTCCGAGTGGCCGATAGCATAGTATTTGCGTTATTCCCGGTTTTGTCGAAAAAAGAATACCTACCACACAGTCTGCAGAGGGCTGTACCTATCATATGAACTCTTATGGGCCGCCTTAATGCAGGCAACAGGTCTGCTCTGCAGGTGGATCCTAATTTTTCATGGTGGGTGGAGGTGAAGAGAGGCAGTTCAACAGGTTTAATCTAGGTAGTACCGCCCTAGATTCTTCCAGATACCGCCATCCCATTTATAGCGGGCAACTAACAAGACCAGCGGCAGTGGCGGATCCTGGGGGGGGGGGGGGGTCCACGGGGTCATGACCCCCCCCCCAAAAGGTCTGAGAGGGTCATTTGACCCCCCCCCCCAAAGCCGAAGACCAAAATGCGTTATAGACGCCGTCTTGCATGCTCAAAATCACCTGTCAAACACTTCTGAACAAATACCTTTGTTTTTCTGGATCGTGTTGAGTGAAAAGGCGTATTGAAAGCCAGAATCTTACTCGTTTTTGTCTCAACCGTGCGAGCACCAGGGGATGATCCAGGAAAACTCCAAGGGGATGGTCATGAATTTAATTCGTGGTGCCCCTACCTATACCCCAAATTAAAAACTCAACGGATTTCGGCCACTTAATTTTGGTGATGCCCTATTTCTATTTTTTATATTGTTTATTTTATTTTTAGTGCCCCTGGGTCCTGGCAGGCCTGTGGTGCCTCTGGCGGGCCTGTGGTGCCCCTGGCAGGTCTGTGGTGCCCCTGGCGGGCCTGTGGTGCCCCTGCTAGGCCGCTGGGGCCCCTGGGCCCTGACAGGACTGTGATGGCCCTGACAAGCCTGAAGTGCCTCCGCTCCGACAGGCTCGTGCCCTGTGGTGCCCCTGACCGGCCCATGGTGCCCCTGCGAGGCCGGTGGTGCCCCTGGCAGGCCTCTGGTGACCCCTGAGGTGCCTTCAAAAGAGGACGTGGGGCCATCAGAAGCGGCTATATGACCGTCGGCATTGGGCCTTAAGGAAACTGCATGGGCCTCTGCTGTGACCCAAAATAAGGAGCTCGAATGTCGAAATGGGACCTTCAGAGACAGGTAGGGACCCTCACCTCACAGGCCTGAGGCAGTAGGCACCCAAAAAGCAGTCGGAGTCCCTCAGATGCCGAAATAGGCCCATTTTGCGCCCTCGGAGGCCAGCGCTGGCCCTCATAGGTCGATGTGAGCCCTCTGAAGCCGGTGAGAAACCTCAAAGGCCATCATAAGACCATCGGGCCACTGGCCAGTATATGACTCAAGGGGCAATTTGGACCTTTGGAGACCGGCGTTGGCCCCAGGGACCCAGGGGGCCCAGGGACGTACCCAGGGGGACGGGTGGACGGGGCGGACGGGCCCCCCCCATTGGGGTTTCAGGAGGCCCCCGTGGGGCGCCGAAGGCCCACGGGGCCAAAATCACGTCGGAGGCGAAAGAAATTCACGGGAATCCCAAAAAACACGTCAGGACGTTCAGGGCCCTCTGACCAGCCTGACAGCTAGGGTCCTTCTTCCTTCCTGGGGCCTCCTGTGAATAACCGCTATAGTGTCTGTATCTGACCGCTAGCGCCCCTCTGAATCCTCAGTAGAGAGGAGGCCCTCTGTAGGTAGGAGGCCCTCTATAGAGGAGGCCCTCTGTAGAAAGGAGGCCTCTGTAGAGAGGAGGCCCCCTGTGGAGAGGAGGCCCATTTAGAGAGGAGGCCCTCTGTAGAGAGGAGACCATCTGTAGAGAGAAGGCTCTATGTAGAGAGGAGGCCCTGTGTAGAGAGGAGGCCCTCTGTGGAAAGGAGACCGCCTGAAAGCAGAAGGCCCTCTGAAGAGCGGAGACCCGCTGTAGCGAGGAGGCCCTCTGAAGAGAGGAGGACCTCTGTAGAGAGGAGGCCCTCTGAAGAGAGAAAGCCCTTTGCAGAGATGAGGTCCTCTGTAGAGAGGAGGCTCTTTGAAGAGAGGAGGCCCTCTGTAAAGGAGGCCCTCTGAAAGGGAGAGACCCTCAGTAGAGAGGAAGCCCTCTGTAGAGAGGAGGCCTTCGGTAGTTGAGAGGCCCTGTGAAAAGAGGAGGCCCGCAGTAGAGAGGTGGTCCTCTGTGGAGAGGAGGCCCCCTCTGTGTTTTGACAAATGTTTTTTGCAAAATTTCGCGGCGCTTCGCGCCGCCGATTCATGTACGTACAGGTCAATACCAAATCGTGACTGTAATTAGGTACACCAACCAACCGTATTAAATTGAATCAGAATTCATATGTGTACTGTGAAGGAACTCCGGCTTGTACTGCCATGCTAAAAGGGTGGTAAATTTGTGTTTTGGAGCTGTGTTTTGACACCAGCTTTTGCAAATTTTCTCGGCGCTTCGCGCCGCCGATTCATACACCAATCAATAAGAGAGATCGTGACTGTATAATAACACCAACCGTGTCAAATTGAATCGGAATTCATATGTGTACTGTGAAGGAACTCCGGCTTGTACTAGCATGCTAAAAGGGTTGTAGGTAATATTTGTGTTTTAGAACTGTGTTTTGACAATTTTTTTTTGCAAATTTTCGCGGCGCTTCGCGCCGCCGATTCATACACAGGTCAATAAGAGAGATCGTGACTGTGTGCTATCAATGCATTAGGCTAAAAGTGAGGTAACTATATCTACTTCTGGGTTTTTAAGTCGGTCGACCCGTCCCCCCCCCCCCCCAGTAAAAAATCCGTGGCACGTCTCCCCTGTACATATAGGTGGGTTTCACTAACTAAAACCACCTAGCCGAGTTACTTACAAACGATAAAACTTCATTTTAGAAACGACGAAGATCAAATGTCATTTGATCTCGACATACTCGCTCCCTACCCCCCCCCCCCCCCCCCCCCCCCGGTCGTCAGAATTCATCCATCAGACCCGGCATGTCGGCCGACTTGTGACCCCCCCCCCAAAAAACGTTCCCCTAGATCCGCCCTTGACCAGCGGCAGCAACTGACATCAGTCTAAAAGGTCATATTTGACCTTGGTTGACTTTAAAACTAGCTATAAGTTTCCTTTTAGGGTATCTGGGCTCGTGGCAATACATTCTTATGATGAAAATTGCCCCTATTCTTCTTTCACTTCGTGCCAAAGACGTAAAGTTTTGAATTGGCTACCTATTTCTTAGTGCTGAGAGGAGCAAACATCATTTTTCAGTGCCTCGATTTCCAACTTGTGTCTGTCAAACAATTTGTCTAGCTTTAATTGAAAAAGGCATTTATACTTTTTAAGCTTACAAGTCTTAAATCCATATTCCTTTTAAGTAAAAAAAAATATTTTCTGATTTTTTACAACACTAGCCCTCTCGCTTCCTTTTCCGTTTCGACGCGTTTGGGGACGGGGTGTCCCCGGTGAACTGTTCAGTATGGTGAGTTTTGATCTGATTCTGGGTCTGGTTGGATTTATTATTGCTCAGATGATTATTCCCCTGAAGTGCCATGAACACGAAAGCAAATTATTTCCCGGGGGAGCAGTAAATGAGTGGCGGTCTGTCACCCGTCTCGCCGCATGCGTCGGGTTAGGTTACCTATGCGTTTTGTATGGGCTTTTAACAGGAATCAGGAGAGCAAGTCGCCGTTTTTTCATTAAAGCTGCTTCTCACGACCTTAATTTTGACTTCTGAATGCATTACATGATTTCCATGTTGAGTGACAATGTTTTGTAGACAGATGCTTGGGTAATGTTCTTGCGAACCTTATACTGAAGGTAATCACTCAGCAGTTTTCATGCACATGTTCATCTTCGGGGGAGCTTTGGGTATTAGTATATATTAGGTTCGAGTGGACAATTGTGACGCTGTTGATACAAATATGTAACAGCAAAAAAATTAGGTTTTAGGTTAGGTTAGGTTGTAGGTTTGTAGGTTTTAGGTTTAAGGTTGGTAGGTTTTAGGGTGGTAGGTTTGTAGGTTAGGTTAGGTTAGGTTGTAGGGTTGTAGGTTGGTAGGTTGTAGGTAAATAGGTAAGGTTAGGCCAGACTGCAAAGTATGGCACGCAGGTCGACGAGGCGCACCGGCCCAAGTTCAAAATCCGCACCAACCCTTTAAACTGAGCCGGAAAATCCGCACCAAAGCGAGCCAAGAGCCCAAAATATCCGCACCGCACCCACAGGCAATTATAATGCAAGGGACTTCATTCATCTCACTATAATTATTTCCCCTCCAATTTCAGTTTCACGAGCAACGCTCACCACGGGACCGCGCCGCGCACTTGTACCGGAAGTTTGAAATAGAGCAAATAGACTGATGCCGGTGACAAAAGGGCGCCGGAGGGCATATTGGGTCACGTGACATTCGGAACTTCTCCCCTCTCTGTGGGCCTTCTACATGCTAAATGAATGTCACGTGTGAATTTAACGAGCCTTGATAAAATCGCCCCAACAAACTTTCGTATGAGTAAAACTAATGACGTCATTTCAAAGTAGCGTGCTGATTGGCAATTCAAACCAGCTGCTCGCAAATGTGACATACCAGTCACCACCGCAACCAGTTTTCGTTCTAATGACGTCATCACGTTAATTTCCAAGGCGAGAATGGATTTGTTCTGCCGCAATTGTTAGTTCGTAGATAAATTTAAAACCTTTCTCCGTCACTGTGCGTCACCGTGGCTGGCACGCATTTGTAGGGCTTTCCAAAGTGAAAGAACAGTCAACAAGGAAACCCGGCCGGGTAAGAAGACCAAGCGAAGTCCCCACCGCATCAAGGTCCAAGCCAAATCCGCACCGCACCAGGCAAAATCTGCACCGCACCACTCCAAAATCCGCACCAGCCAAACAAGCCCGCACCGACGAGATCTCGTCGAAATTGCCATACTTTGCAGTCTGGAGGTTAGGTCAGGTTTGATTATGTTTTTTCTTTTATTTCCAAGACATATAAGTATCATTTTTGGATTCAGGATGTCAAATAATGTAAGAATATGACAACTTTATCTTTTAACAGTCACTTGGACTCAGTGTATACTTTTACCTAGGTTTGGTCAATCATTGTCATTTTTAGCACATGCCATTTTTGGCAACCATGTGCCATAAATGACAAGATATTCGCTATTTTTGGCAACGTGAAGCCTATTTGGTATTATTAGAGCAGACGTCACACGAAGGTTTTCCAACCAAGGAGAGGCGCTATGCCTGGAGGCACTTACTTCTTTCTAACAAAACTTAAACAGACCTAACCTAACCTGACCTAACCTAACCTACAACCTACAAACCTACATCCTAAAAACCTACAACCTTCAAAACTACAAACCTACCCTACAACCTACAAACCTACAGTGCCTCTCCTTGGTTGGAAAACCTTTGTGTGACATCTGCTCTACTAAGGCCGCCTATTTCACTCCTCAGCCAGGAAATCACTATTTTGGAAATACAAGTACTGATTTTGGAAAAGAAGTGCTGCCACCTGGTGCAAGAAGAATAATTGGTATTTATATGAATAATCCAGCTTTAATATGGCCGTTGTTTGTATGGTAGTCCATGGTTGATGTAGACCCTTTTTTGTGGCCTGAAGTTGGAACCTCAATTTGCAGCATCTGAAAATGATCAATATTGATCAAAAACATAATTTTGTTGAAAAAAGAGTATGTTGAAGTTGAAAGAAGTCAAGGTGGCAGTTTCATCCAGATGCAGTGGCTTTTTTCTTGAAATTATTTTTGTTAACCTGTGCCCGGCTGGGGGTCCTATTTTTTGGTCAGGTCAAAGGTCAGGTCACCAGAGGTCATTGAAGGCAAAATTTCGCCGATTTCCAGGTCGAATGTCGACATTTCCAAGAAGCCAACGCATAACTCGGGAACCAATAGAGCTACAGCGCCGCAGAAAAGCGCATTCAATAGCCCTATCAATCCCCTTTCTGAGTAATTCTTTCAGATTTGACTTAACGTCAACGGTTTTGCCTGCAGGGGGCAAAAACTGCAAAAATAGCCGATTTTTTTGGAAAGTTTTTTTTTCTGCACTAACTTTTGACCCAAGCCTTGTACGAGCTTACTTTTACCGGCGTCGTGTTCCTCTCGTCAAGACGCATCGATTGAACTATAACTTGACCTTGAAAGGTCAACTTAAAAATTGACCTCAGGTCAAGGTCATGACCTGACCGGAAAGGGTCATGTTGCATATCAGTCGATCCGTATCGTCGAGCTGAACACATCTAAGGCGTTTTCATCGCTCTAGCATGCCTCTATCAAAAGTTATTTGCGAAAAACTGTTAGATACCATTTGTGACCCAAGATGACCTCAGGGCATAAACAGGGGTCACGGACACCATTTTCATGTTCAGTGTGTCTAAACCACTTGTAATTCAGTGTTTGGAAGTGTTTATGTCTTTCGTCCAAAAGAGGCGCATTTCAATTTTCTCCCATTGACTTATAATGGGAAGGTCGCAAAATTGACCTGACCTTAGGTCATCGATATCAAAATTCTGAGATATACATTTTGTACATGCTATTGCTCTTAGCAATCGCTGAAAGTTTCAAAGCGATCGGTCACTCGGTGTAGCTACGACAGACATTAAAACTTTTTCTGAGGTTAGGTCACTTTAAGTGACCTGGTGACCTGACCTTGAATGACCTTGGTCTGAAATTTTCACAACATGTGTAGAATTGATGTATAAGGTGTGCCAAAAACGGCGGCGCGGAGCGCCGCCGTTTTTGAGATATTCGCGAAAAACCACAAGGGGGGTGTTCAAACACCGCCCCCCCCCCCCCCAGCAGGGCGCGGGTTAATGACCAATCCATCGCCATGTAATGACGGATGATGCCTGGCCGTCAGTTAGCAAAAATAATTTCAAGGAGTAAACCACCGCATCTGAATAAAATGACCTCTCAGCTTAACCCGCGACCTGGTGGGGGGGGGGGGGGGGGGCTATTTTTTGCCCCCCCTCCAGACTTTTCGATATATATCTCCAGAACCGCTGCGCCGATCGTCACCAAACTTTCAGTACCCTCCCGGACATCAATTTTACACATTGTGACCAAAAATTTTTCCAAAAGCTATGATAGGTTGGCCGGAAATGACGTTAGAGTGACGTCATGTTCTGCCGTTTTCGACCCAAAAAAGGGTTTCGCGGGAAGAGCTGTCAGGCCTATAGCTTTGCAAATACAGAAAAATGTTTAGGACATAAAAGCTGTAGAATCAACAGGGCTACAAAACTGCTATCTCGGATTTTTGATTTTTTTTTTTTATTTTTACCCCCAAAAATCAAAAAATAGATTTTTGGGATATAATAGTCAAAAAATCCAAAAAGTTTTTTGAATTTCGCAAAAACCGGAATGTATGTGATAGTCCTTACCGCCTTCCATCCACATATTAAATTTTAGATTGATACCTCTTTTTTTGGCGAAGTTATAGCGAAAAACTGTTCAAAATTGATGATGTCAAATTTTCAAACTCAATTTTTAGCAATTCTAGACCTCGTAGTGCAAAACAAAGACCACCATTAGACTCCCCGTGACGAGCTGCATCGAATCGATACCCTTTTTATGCAAAAATATCAACTTTGAAATTTGACCTTTTTTGACCTGACCTTGACCTGACCTCCACCAGAAAGTCACCTAAACCGTACCTGATGGTCTTATAACCAACACCATTGGGTTGGAAATGAAAAACTGGCCATAAAACATGCATCGCACAACCTTAGTAAAGTTGGGTTCATGTGGTGACCCTTGGTGACCTTTGGTGACCTGACCTGTGACCTGACCTGGTATGACCAGTGACCTCTAATAGCAACATATGTACTAGACAACTGACGTCTTATCGCTGATTTTCGACAAAATGCGTTTTACTCGGTGTTATAGCGCTTTCCCAAGAAGCCCCGTGAACGGTGAAACATTTTATCTTTGACCTGACCTCTGACGTCATCGGTGACCCCGAGGTCAATAAAATTTGGTTTCCTTCGACAAATTTGACAGGGCTATCGAACGCCGTTTGAATTTTGCGGATCCGTCCAGTAGTTTCGGAGATACGAGGGGGGGGCAAAAAATAGCCCCCCCCCCCCCACCAGGTCGCGTTATAAACAGACCCCACCAGGGCGCGGGTTAACATATTATTTTTTCTCATCAACATGTTTTCGATCAATATCTCATTTTCGGATGCTTCAATTTTAAAGGTAGTGTGCCAGCTTTCTTGGACCGTATGGAGTTAATGGCCCAGATAAGGAGAACTGGATTTTTAGAACTTATCCATACCTTCAAAACTCATGGAAACGTCTTAAATTCTTCAAATTTTGAGTACCCCAGTGCGAAATTCGCCCCGACGGGTTGTCGGTCGTACCCCAACCATATTTCACACCACTATGAACAATAAATGCACACACTGAAATCGCTATTACCGCTATGCTCATCCAATCAAGTTTCGATAAACCCGTTCATCATCAGCTCCTGC